TGGGGGGGGGGTTAAACACATCATGGCAAAACTGAAATATTATGTATATTGGTAAAAGATTTAAACTTTTGGGCATAAGTTTGCAAGAACGCTAGCTTCTTGCTAACCACTGGAATAAATGGTTTCAAGCGCATGACCAAATATAAGAACAACGATGGACGGATGGAAGTCCGGAACGCATTTTGCATTAACAGCTGTGGTTTTTCCTTCATACTCATACGCTGTCGCAGCTGTTATCGATTGTAGTCTATTCTTGGGACATTTTGGTTTTATTACTTAGAAATGTCAACAGACGTGTAGAAAATAATCTAAACTGAAGGCTAGTTATGCGGACAAAGTAAACCGAAAGAAAGACTGCAAAATATTGTGAGAGGTTAATCCACCGGCGATGCTCAAACGAAACGGATTACGGTGAGAGTGGAGGGGGGCTCTGGTTGACCCTCAAAGCAGGGTCGGTAGCCGATGAGAAATTAATTTCGAAATTGACAGGTCGATCCACAGCAAGGTGGCGCAGGGACTGTGAATTGCGCCCGAATCAGATTATAACGAGAGTTGTATATCCCACACCCGCTCCCTCTGCCTCTGATGGGTCAACTATCATGAGCAAGTCAAGAAGATTGAAGTTGGAAGAAGGTGCCGGTGGCTGGCGCTGTCGGAGCCGCACCTAAGTATGCCGCCACATCAGGCTCGGGATTCCATGAAACGGAAGTGTCATAGAAGCCGCATTAAAAAGAAACCACTGTAGCCTGACGCTCAGTCTGCCAGTCAGACACTCCACACAAACACACTAATTGGGGTGACTGCAAAGTCTGGTTTATTTTTTTTTCATTTGGCAACCTCTCTAGCCATAGCTTTGACAGATGTGAACGTGCCCGATGATGGATATTGAAGAGCATGCGCTTAGTTGTCGATCTTCCTCTAATGCCAGGCTCCAGCCGGTCGGCTGCCTGGCGCAAGGAAGGGGCGCATTTGCTGACATAGCTAATTATCTCGTCGACGCATGCCACATACACGAGCAAAAACAGCACGCCAGATATTCACACAAAAGGGGGCGGGGGAGGGCAGGCCCCGCAAAATTAATGACAGCAAGACCAGACGTACCCGTCGAACGTCAGCTGACTTCGGTTCGGTGGACCAGGTGATAATCCGGGTGATGGCCTTGACCACCTCTACGGGCGGATTACTAAGAGCATCCTCGGGCATCATAACCAGAAGGTCCTTAATGTACTCCAGCATACACACCTTTACTTTCGGGGCTGGTGTGAGAGCATCGTCAATGATGAATCGGCAGCAATGAAAGAATTGTAGATCCAGAGGAAAAGTTGACCTGTTAAGGAATGAATAAGCAGGAGTATAAGCAACCATTTGTAAAACATACTGTTCTACCAGTAAGGTTGTTGATTTTTAGAGAACAATCCCAGTTGGTTTGGCTACTGCTATCTTAACATTTTGAATCGAGGAAACCAGTTATCATTTCGCAGAATTTTTAAAGTCAGTTAAAGTCTTCAACTACGTACGGTCATTGCCTATTAATAAAGACCGACGAAGGGATCAGTTTCCTGAAGAAAGCTTTCTTGGAAGTGGGCATCCGGCAAAATAAATCGGCAAGTTTCTCCACCACAGACAAAAAGACCTCCAGAAATATCCGTGTCAAAAAGCCGGTGAGCATCTTCCTCCCTTTCAAGGATGATAATGTGTACAACATGATCAAGCGGCGGCTTCGAGGCACGATTGAGCGAACGTACACCGCATCTAAATTTTTGTTCACAAGTACAACAAAGGTCATTCCAGTTAGACTACCTAAAGACATTCTGCCTATGCGCACCACATTAAACTGTTTTTATGAGTTTCAATGTAGTTCGGGATGCAAATACATTGGGCGCACGCAAAGACAGTTGGCAGCTCGGTCAACTGAGCATACGCTGAAGGAGTTGGGTGGGGCGGAAAATAAGATACCCAAGTGTTCAATCATAAAGTGCCTGGAAAGCACTAGCTTTACGGTGGACGCAATGACGACTGGGCGTCTCTTGTGCTTCGTAGAGGCCGCTGTAATACTCTGTAAGCAATCGGATCACGTGACCAGCCTCGCATTGCTGTGGTAAGGACTTATAATAGACGTAACCCCTCATTACCGCTCCCGTCTTCTCAACCCCTCCCGCGCATGGCTCCTTTAATCACACTTTAATCTGAATCGGCTTGCTTAGATAACTCACCACCTTGTCTTCGCTATACGCTCCCGCGTATCAGACCAACATTTCATGCTGTATTTACCTATAATGTCTCAACCCCACTAGGTGGATATTTAATTGGACAGATTATCTTGTCTTCTTAATAGGCGATGACCGTACGCAGTCGAATAAAAGGTCGCACATTTACTGACTTCAAGAAATTCTGCGAAGTTCTTCGCCTTCCCCTCGTTCAAATTTCTTCCAGGAACACAATGCTTTGGAAGCGAATACTTGTTCCTCCATTCTGGCCAGAATGTACACTCACTATTCCAGTATAGAAAGAGCATTACGTGTTAATGACCGAATAAAACAGAAAAAAACATGGGACGGAATTGATGTAACATCAGCGGCAGCTTACCGGAGCACTGTGAGAGTCTCTTTGATGGCCTTTTGGTGACTGGAGAGTACTTCGTGACCCTGACGGCTTAATAGACGCACCAAAGCAACGTAGATCCAATCATGCAACAGGGCATGGTAGGTTATCATAAACTGCTGCAGTGTGTCCATGAACAACGACAGCACCTTGGTTGTCGAAAGAAAAGAAGGCAAACTTGTAAGATGAGTGGCGCAGGTGGTGATTTAATGATGATGACCTTCTTAAGGCCGCTGAAAAAAAGACCTTTGGATCGCATGATAAATTAGTGTCTTAGCGGGGAGAAAATCCTGTGGAATAAGGCTTTTTAGGCAGGAAGGTATGTGCGCGCCGAAATTGATGAGTTTCAGTAGGATAATCATGTAACAGCATACACAGGTTCTATGATACACCATACTGATGGCATAGGTATTAGCTAAAAGTCCAGGCGCGCGTGGTTTTCCGATTTTTGCCACTGCACGACACAGATACGAGGATCTCGGTTCATCAGTGCAGACCTTAGTTTCCTATTATAAACTCCAGTCTTGAAATCAATACAGTAACTTGGGGTAAATCCTTCAGGACAATCCTTTTTCAGACTCGGATTTAAAGTTAATAAGAATATTTGGGAGACACGTGGCTGAGCTTGAAGCTTGTATGTAGGTTGTCGGTGGGGTACATACTTCATGAGGTGACTCAGGAACTCAGTGCTACTGTCCTCGACTTGAAACCGTTACCTAATTGGAAACGTCGAAGAGGGTGTCAACTCAAAACTTGGCTCGACTCAGTCTGTCAGGACATGGCAGTGGTTCTTGGACCTTCGGTATTCGGTCTCCGGCGCTAGAGAAGAGACTGGGTAGAGCTTTCCAGATCCGTTGCGACTAATCGTCACACATGGAGAGGTACCGTCCGTGACATCACCGAGGCCGGCTAGATCAGGTATGACCACAGCCGTAACAAGTACAAGTCGGCGGGTTGAATTACGCAAAGGACTCTTATGGACAGTCCAAGGTGAACCTATTGCATTCCGCTGCATTGAAATATGAAACTCGTTGAACCAGAAAACGTTTATCTACGACGGATTTAAACGGCCAATGCCTTAAGGTGTGTCGGGTACTCAACGGGACTCATTATGCATTTCTCTCCTGTAAACAATATAAACTCCCCTAAAATAAATCGCAAGGCAAGCCCATAAGTCAGTCTGAGCACTACGGTATTGAGTGCACTCGTGGTCCTAGTACGATAGTCATCCGATAGAGAAAAAGTGCTTGATCAGCAAGTGGCAAAAACACACATCAAGTAATCATACGCGACCGCAAGGGCTCAAATTGAATTCAACGATCGCAGCCTAGTCATGAAAGTCGGTAAGCAGAGTGCGTTGTCTGTCCTGCCATAGTTGTCACATACAGGTATAAAAGCCAAAGTAGTCAAAGGCCGGAATCCGCGCCTGGCAAACAAATTGGTGATGAGGCTGGTGACTAATTAGTTCCGATTCTTATTCACATCCACAGCAAGACAATGAACGTAGAACTTCCGCGGCTTGAAAGTTGCTTGCAGACTAGGAGCAAACACAGGTTAGACACACTGAGTATTGCGAGTTCAGGTTGAAGCGTGTTATAAGGAATGCTTGTGTGGCATTTGTTTGCCCTATC